AATAACAGCATGGATTCATTTATTATACTGTATATTTATTTAAAGCACCGTGGTTCAATGATGTGTGGTGTCAGAATACTGTGTATATATACAGTTGTGCTCAAAAGTTTGCATACCCTGGCAGAAACTGTGAAATTTTGGCATTGATATTGAAAATATGGCTGATCATGCCAAAAAATGCTCTTTTATTGAAGGATGATGATCATATGAAGCCATTTATTATCAAATAGTTGTTTGATGAGGTTGCCTGTGGGTTTTTCTTTGAATTCTTCTATCAGTTATGGCTGCAATCTTTCTTGGTCTACCTGACCTTGGCTTGGTATCAAGAGATCCCCAAACTTTCCACTTCCTAATAGGTGATTTAACAGTACTTACATCTTAAATTGTTTAAGAGCCACAGGCTCTGTCTCCGGCCACACCCTAATGCGTTTCGTCAGCAGTGCATAGAGAGCGTTCTTAACCATTTCAATACCAGGCAATTTTACACCTTCCTGCCCAGGCCATTTTTCACGTTTCAGCGCTCTCACACTTTGAATGACAATTGCGCGGTCATACAACATTGTACCCAAACTAAAATTTTATCATTTTCTTCACACAACTAGAGCTTTCTTTTGGTGGTATTTAATCACCGCTGGGGTTTTTATTTTTTGCTAAATTAACAAAAAAAAACAATACTTTGAAAAAAAAAAAAACATGTTTTTCTTTGTTTGTGTTATAAAAGATTACAAATAAATAATTGTTCTTCATAAATTTAGGCCAAGATGTATTCTGCTACATGTCTTTGGTGAAAATAACCCAAATTAGGATGTATTATTTAGTTTGTAGGAAAGTTATAGAGTTCACACACTATGGTATAGATCTGAAAATTGATCAATCCTGAAGTACTGACAGCCAATCTAATTTCTTGAGGTCCAAGAAAGTCAGAATAGTACAGATATCCCCCCAAATGACCCCTTTTTGTAGAGTAGACAGTCCGACGTACTTCATAAGAGGAATGGCGAGTTTTTTTTTGAAGTTGTATTTTTTTTGTCATAATTTTTCGGAAAATGAAAAAATTTAAAAAATTATTTTCAATATTTTTTTTTTTACATACTGTCACCAGTGCAGTACAGCATCGTTATATAACTGGCATGGCGGTGAACAGGGACACTGACTGGTGACAGTATAAAAAAAATATATATATATTTTTTTTTATTTTTTTATTATTTTTAATTTTTTATTACTTTTTTAAAAAAAATTTAAGATTTTTTTTTCATATTTTACTATGACCAAAGTAGTACAATGTTACCATAGTAACATTGTACTACTTTGGGGAAGTGATCAGTATTTTTTTTTTTACACAATTTGCTTATAGCAAAGAATTACTTTGCTATTAGCAAGCATTTACCTGAATGAAATCGATTCATTCAGGTTTTTTCTTTTTTTTTTTTTTTTTTTTTTTTTTTTTTTTGTGCTTAGCTGTGATTTGGCCACAGCTAATCACATGACATGTGACCTGCTGTGACCATTCACAGCTAGGCACTAGTATACAATGGATGGCATGAATGAAGCCATCCATTGTATACAACTGTCATGTGACCTGCTGTGATTGGTCACAGAAGGTCACATGGTACCGGCAACGGGGGCCGGTACTCAGATCTGTCATCGGCCGTGTCCAAGGTACACGGCCGGTGACAGATCGCGCCGCTGCGCGGCTCTGCAACCGCGCAAACTGCGCATATGCGGGAGCACGCCAAATGGCGTGCACTCGGAAAGCTGATGCATTTTTACAGCCGCCAAACAGCTATAGGCCGGGCTGCTAATGGTTAAAGACACAACTCCTTCCTGATTGGCCAAATTACTACAGCACCAGGTGCAATGTATTAACCCTAATGTATATGATCTAATCTATACACCAGACTACCTCATTGCAGCAATGCTATCTTGTATACAGATAGACTTACTGTCGGCTGCCCTCGACCACCCTGGCATCCCTAACCACACATCACACCAGACCCTGACCGCTTCAACCCTGGCAAAACGACCATACGAAATGTCTCAAATGACGTAGTCTCGCACTGGAGCGCTTATGGCGCAAAACCAGATCCCCTTGTGCGTTCTCCCTCTACAAAGCTGCCTTCCTCACCTACACCACCTCCCTCCACGCCGCCAAGCAAGCCTATTTCATAACCCTTATCAACACCCTCTCCACCTGTCCTCACTGGCTCTTCTCCACTTTCAAATCCCTGCTCTCTCCCCCCCCCCCCCCCCCCCCCACCCAGTACCTCACTCACCGCCCACGAGATTGCCAATCATTTCCAAAACAAGATTGACGCAATCCGTAAGGACATTGTCAACTCACATTCTACCTCTCCACCCAGCCCCCCCCACCCTCCATCAACCCCTCAATCCTCCCCTCCTCCGACCTCATAGCGGCACTAACCCCCACTATGCCTAACGCCCCGCACACTATCACCTCCCCAACGCTCCGCTCCTTCAGCCCAGCTACCCCTGAGGAGGTCTCTAAGGTCTTCACTGAAGCCCGCCTCACCACCTGTCCCTTGGACCCTATCCCCTCACAGCTCCTCCAGTCACCCCCCCTCCATCATTTGCTCCCTCACCCACATCTTCAATCTCTCCCTCTCCACTGGCACTTTCCCCTCCCCTCTAAAGCACACGCACATCACCCCCCATACTCAAAAAAACCCTCCCTTGACCCCACTGACTTGAACAACCTTAGACCCATCTCCCTGCTACCATTCACTTCCTAGCTGCTTGAGCGCCTGGCCTACAATCGCCTATGCACCCACCTCACTGATAACAACCTCCTTGATCCTCTACAGTCTGGCTTGCGTCCCCTACACTCCACCGAAACCGCCCTACTTAAAATCACCAACGACCTGCTAACCGCCAAAGCTAATGGCCATTACTCTGTCCTCCTGCTCCTTGACCTCTCCGCGGCCTTCGACACTGTCGACCACTCTCTCCTCCTTACTAAACTGCACTCCCTCGGCATCAGGGACACTGCTCTCTCCTGGTTCTCCTCCTACCTATCCCAACGCTCCTTCAGCGTCAACTATAACACTGCCACCTCCCTCTCTCTCCCCCTCTCTGTTGGAGTCCCCCAAGGCTCTGTCCTCGGACCCCTCCTCTTCTCCATCTACACCTCCTCCCTTGGCAAACTAATACACTCCCACGGCTTCAATTACCACCTCTATGCCGACGACACACAAATTTACCTCTCCACTCCCCACCTCACCCCCTCACTCTCCGCCCGCATCGCCCACCTTCTGAACGACATATCAGACTGGATGTCGCTCCTTTGCTCAAATTAAACCTGTCCCAAAACTGAGCTCCTGGTCTTCCCCCCCCCGCGCGCCCCCCCCCATCCTCTCCATCACTACTAACAACACCACCATCACTCCCACCCCACATGCCAAAGTCCTGGGTGTCACCCTGGACTCAAACCTTTCCTTCCTACCTCACGTCCAATTACTATCAAGATCATGCAGGCTCCACCTCCGCAACATCTCCAAGATACGTACATTCCTCACCCCAGACACTACTAAACAACTCGTACAATCCCTCATCATCTCACGCCTGGACTACTGCAACTCCCTTCTCACTGGCCTACCAAAACAAACGCTATCCCCACTCCAGTCGATCCTGAACTCAGCGGCTAGACTCATCCACCTCACCAACCGCTCCACATCTGCCACCCCCCTCTGCCAATCCCTTCACTGGCTCCCGATTGCCCAACGCATCAAATTCAAACTGCTAACTCTGACCTACAAAGCCATTCACAACGCCGCCCCAAACTACCTAACCGACCTGATACCCAAATACCACACTACCCGTGCCCTTCGCTCCTCACAGAACCTCCTACTCTCTAGCTCCCTGGTCTCCTCCTCCCACGCCCGAATGCAGGATTTCTCCAGGACTTCGCCCATCCTCTGGAAGTCCCTACCCCAATCCATCCGACTGTCACCTACCCTCCTCACCTTCAGGCGCACCCTGAATACCCACCTCTTCAGGGAAGCCTACCCCACCCTCACCTAACAACTGACCTCCTCCACTCCTCCCACCACTCCATCCCCCACAGCTATTTCCTCCTGTACCACTTTCCCCTCCCTCCTAGATTGTAAGCTTGAAAGAGCAGGGCCCTCAAACCCCTTGTGTATTGTATTGTTTCTGTCTTGTCTCATGTTCTGTCCCCCTTGCTATTGTACAGCGCTAAGCAAACCCTTTGGTGCTATATAAATACTGTATAATAATAATAGTATAACAACAGTGTAATTACAATGCAATAGCAATCAGCACAATCACAATCTCAATACATATCAATGCAATAACAATCAACACAATCATAATTAAACATTCAATACCATACTAAATGTGTTCTAAACAAATATTATTATTACGCTGCATCAATAAATAATAATGAATAAACAATAAAATATAAATAAATAATGAAAAATAAGTAAATAATAAAATAATATAATAATAAATAATAAATAAAAGTTAAAATTAAAAAACTTAAACATCACTAATAAAGCAATTTAAATCCAGTTCTACATTCAATCCCTTAGGAGTCAAAGCTTCAGTTAAATAGATCCATTTAGTTTCACATTTAGAAAGCTCTCTCACTCTATTGGAACCCCTCCAAGCTTTAGGGATAGATTCAATAGCCCAAAATTTCAAACCGGTGGGGTCACAATTATGATATTTCTTAAAGTGTAACGACACACTATGGTATTTATAACCCTTACTAATATTCCTCAAATGTTCCAATATCCTGACCTTAAGCTGTCTCTTGGTCGCGTTAGGGTGTGGCTATCGGTGACATCATCACGCACGCACGCTGTCCCACGTGTCCGAATCACGTGGTTGCACCATCACCATTTTGGATGAGGGCAGGCGGGTGAAATGCCGGAGACAGAGCCTGTGGCTCTTAGACAATTTTATGCTTTATTGTTTTATACTCATTGTGAGTGCGGTTTTAAGGGGGGTTTTTTACTTCAATAATAAATTAGTTGAATGATATTGCACAATGGCGAGTATGTTTTTTATTCACATGTACTAATTGGATATGAGAGGATTTCCTTTAAGCCGGAGCATTGTGGTGGATTGCTGGATATTTAAAGATATGCTGGTTTATCACCAGCACATGGTGAGTGTGCATTTTGATGGGGTGTTCTGAGCACTGGATGTCACGTTGGTGAAGGAGGATCTCATTATTTCATTAATTAATTTATCAAAGGATCATTTATGAACTTTTTAATGGACTTATTTATATTTTTTATGTGCACATTGGTGGTGGATTTATTAATTGATTTATTAATTTATTTATTATTTATCTGAATATTTATTTAAATATTTACTTATTTATTGGTGTAGGGTTGCGCTATTATTTGTGGTTGGTTGTCTTCACATTTTTATGATTTAACAGTACTGACTGGCATATTCAAAGCTTTGGACATCTTTTTATGTCCTTTTCAATCTTTATAAAGTTCCATTACCATGTTACGCAGAACTTTTGACAGTTCTTTTCTGACCCCCATGGCTCAGTATCTAGCCTAGTCAGTGCTTCCACGTAAGAGCTAACAAACTCATTGGCTATTTATACACTGACATTAATTGCAATTTAAAAAGCCACAGATGTGGGACATTAACCTCTAATTGGCATTTTAACACCGTGTGTCACCTTGTGTGTCTGTACCAAGGCCAAACATTCCAGGGTATGTAAACTTTTGATCAGGGTCATTTGGGTGATTTCTGTTATCATTATGATATAAAAAGGAGTCAAACAACTATTTGATAATAAATGGCTTCATATGATCATCATCCTTCAATAAAAGAGCATTTTTTGTCATGATTAGTCATATTTTCAATATCAATGGCAAAATTTTACAATTTCTGCCAGGATATGCAAACGTTTGAGTACAACTGTGTAGATATATATATATATATATATACAAATAATTTTTTTGTTTTGTTTTTTTACCTCTATTTCAATGTTCCCCTCTGTACTTGGCCCACGTCTAAAATTACCGTCCTCTTAATCAATAGGGTCACAAACTCTCACGTAATCACCTGCCTCTTTTTTCACCATGATCCCTATAGTTTTAGGGCTAATTCACCATGAAGTTACCACATAGCGGCTGGTGTGCAGTGTGGTCCGGTGCAATCTAAGTGCATCTCATTGCTCACTTTTTTTAAAACTTTATTGAAATGTCACACAGACATTTCATTACGTTTGACTGGCCACTGCGTGGTATGCGGTGGTGGATTGTCTTGCCCTGTGCTGGGTTGAAAAAAACATTGCATGCACTCAGGGGCGGACTGACCATTTGGAAACTCAGGCACTGCCCGAGGTCCTGGGGTCAGTAGGGGGCCCCATGAGATGCCCCTGGTACCTTTTTCATAGGCTTTTTTGAGTTTGGGCAAGGACACGGGGGCCCCATGATCCCCTATTGCCCAGGGGCCCCATGAGTTGTCAGTCCGCCCCTGCATGCACTCCTGATTTCAGCGTACACCATTGCAACAGAGTGGTGTGACCTGGACACGTGTTTTGCCTTGTCATGCGGGGGACTGCACTGAAACAGCCACCCAACTCAGTCCCGCTGCATCTGGTGTGCATGAACCCCGAAGGGTCTGGACAGAAAAAAGCAATATCATTTTCACTAAGTGCTGTACAACAAATAGGATAATTTACTAAAACTGGAGAGTGCAAAATCTGGTGCAGCTCTGCACAGACACCAATCAGCTTCCAGGTTTAATTGTCAAAGCTTTATTGAACAAGCTGAAGTTAGAAGCTGATTGGCTACCATGCACAACTGTACTAGATTCTGAATACTTCAGTTTTAGTAAATCCCCCCCCCCCCCCCCCCCCCCCCCCCCCTAAGATTGAGAATATGGTGTATTTTCAGTGAGTATGCATTTGAAGTTATTATTGTAACTTATTATAAAGTGAACCTAAATCTAAGGTTTGGGTCTGCTTAAAACAATTAGACATCTATTGCAGAGGATGAATGAGGGTAATCAGATGTATTAAAGACTGTATAAGCTTACCTTTTCAGTATAAGAAAGAGACCTCGTGTGCAGTGCTCCAGTTCTGGGTCATATGACCTCAGTTCTGCACAGTGGGGGGTAAGGTCAGCACAACTTTCAGTTACTTTGAGTGAAGAGTCAAAGTGTCTGCTGACTCCATCACCCCTGTGCACTTTATCACATGCTGTATAAACATCATGCTAACAGAATTATACACAGATTTGTAAGCATTCTCTGTTCTGGCCATCTGTATTTTGAGGAACGTGATTAGCAAAGGAAATCTTTACTGAGGAAGGATGAAGGCTACCATTGTTGGCCTTCCTTTCTAAGAATTTCAACTGCTTTATTGTCATGTTAGGCCAATAGCTTCAGTACTTTCAATAACTGACCTGTAACAAATATAACAAGGTTAGGAGCTTTGGATTAACTCTGATTTTCTAATCTTCATGCTGTTTTGGGACAGTGGCTCAGAAAATACTGAAGACATAGGCTAAGTACAACAGTAATGGAACTTGCATTTCTGGAAGTAGATTGGCAATGGCAACCTAATATTTCTCCTAATGCAGGTACCCTTTGCATTCTCTGCATTAAAGTGGAACTAAACCTTTTCTCATCAGCAGTTAGAGCAGTCATGTGACTTCCATCAGTGTCCAGCCGAGCAGTGGTTAAAGCTTATAGCATAAGTTTTCATTCTCCTCCAGGATTGGCCCTGTGCTGATCACATGCACTCTCCCAAGAGAAAAAAAAAAACCCTCTCTAGCAAAACACAGCAAGCTGAGCATGTGCAGAGTGGCTCCACATGATATGTCTTATCAGGAGATAAGAGGGGGACACTGGAAGAAGGGGAGGATCAGAGAAGTCAGGATCAAACAGAGTTTTTACACAATGCAGAGGATTAACGCCTTAGGTTCCCCAGTGAGTATAACAAGCATGCTTTACTGCATGTACAGACTGATTTTATTGTTGTGGGTTTAGTAACACTTTAAGGTAAAAAATACCTTCTGTGTCACAGCATCCCCCCCTTTTACTTGCACAGAGCTGGTAAGTGTGACATGTGTGTTATTTTATTTAAAAAAAAAAAGGGAAAACACTTTACAATAACTTTCAGCTCCTCTCCCCTTGAGTGACCTACCTCTACGATTAAGCCCTGCATGGGTGAAATGCATTAGTGGGGCTGCCCTAGGTGGAATGATGCAGTGTGTGCTATCAGTGCAATAACAGAAGTTGGAATTTAACACATCACAGATGTGCAGCCCGTTTTGTTTGTTGGAGCATGAGTTAGCTCCTGAGCAAAAGAGGAAGCAGGCAGCTTATGAGCAGTGAGGCATGGGGTGATCATAAAATCAGAGTCATATAGTAGTCATAAATAATGCTGCAAGGGAAGATGAGTGCCTCAGACAAAGAAAAGAAGCACTTTTTCTCCATATGCTACCTACCGCAACACAGACATTTGCATATTTCAAACAACCAGTGTTATATTTACAAGAGATGTATTCAGCAAAAAATATTGCTCTTCAAATACGCCTTCAGTTAATGGCAGCGGATATCTAAGAAGAAGAGGTGGGGGGGTGTGGGGGCGGGGGGCTGGAGGTGAAGGTTGGAGAGCGAGCCCCCTTTTTTTTTTTCTCTCTTTCTCCTTTCACCCCGGCCCTCCGCGGCCGCACCATGGTTCCCTTGCCCCCGGTCCCTTCTTTCTCGGCTTGAGATAATGGGTGGGAGGTGGGGGCAGTGAGAATGTGGATCTGGCGGGCGGTCTGGAGGCCAATCATTCGGATAATACAAGGAAAGATGATACTTAAGTTTATCTGGGCAAATAAGAAACTGAAAATTAGGTTAGAGGTATTGTGTAGGGCAAAAGGGAATGGGGGTTTGGGTATGCCAAATGTTAAGAAATATTATCAAGCGGTGATATTATCACGAATAATAGACTGAATATTTAATTCCAGGTTGGGTGAATATGGAAGGGATTCTGAGTAAGGCAGAGTTAGGGAAGGTGGTTTGGGTACCACATAAATTCCACACATTTGAATATTAGTCCACTGACAAGAAAAGTTTTAAGTGTTTGGGATAGAATGTATAAGCAAAAGGGATGGAAATATAATTCAGGTATGATTCCCTTGGTGGGAACAGAGTAGTTCACCCCAGGGAAGGATAATATTTTTGGGAAATGGATTAAAGATCAAAATGTATGTTTGAAAGATATACTGAATTAGGGGAAATTGCACATTGTTTCTCACTTAAAGAAAAAAAAGATTTATTTTTTACATTAGATGAGTAGCGGTATGGCCAATTAGATCATTTTGTCTAAATGCTCCACAACCATTCAGGACTTTGGAGGATCTGTATTCATTTGAAAAACTGTTGAATGTAACTATAGTTCCTTAACAAGACACCTCCAGGATTTATAAGATTCTTATGGATATGGAGGGTACCAAACCTCCCCAAACCTCCCCAGTTCTTGGAAAAATGGGAACAGGAGCTTGGAACAAAATTGAACGAGCAACAAAAGAATAAAATAAGAATAAAATATTCAAATTAACACATGAGGTGATGAATATGAGCACAGTTGAAATTAATTACAAATATTTGGCTAGATTGTATATTACACCGAGTAAGGCACATATACAACAAGTAGATGTCTCACCTTTATGTTGGACAGGTTGCGGGGTAAAAGGGAAGAATGGTACACATATGGTGGGATTGCCCAAAAATACAGGATTGCTTTAAGGGAATATTACAATATATTCAGGAAATATGTAGGATTACTGTACAGAGATACCCATGGACATGTTTATTTTATAAATTTGAACCTTTAGTAAAACTGCATAAGAACAGGGTACTATATCATCTAATCAGTGCAGCTAAGAGCTTGATTCCCAAATTTTGGCTTGCCCCAGACTCTCCGAGAATAAATGACTGGGTTAACAGAATGGAAAGTATCTACAGGATGAAGGAGTTGTGTCATACTGAGGAGGAGAGAATAGAAAAATGTAGGAAAATGCGGAGTAGCTGGTTAAATTTCAAAACATCTCAAAGATATCTGAAACTGGTGGGAATATAGGTGGAAGAGTATTAGAGAGAGTTTTAATGGAGTACCTGACAGAGAGAAGGAGATAGGAGGGAAGGGATACAGATATAGATAGATAATCACAAGAAAGGATAGAAACTAGGATTTCAGTATGGACTGGGGAAATTGGAGGGAGGGTGGAAGGAAGGGTAGGGCAGGGGATAAGACTATGCAAATGGAATTTATGTATTGGTGAAGTTCTTTTTATTTTTGTGTGCATTAGATGCTCTTTTTGTATTGGAAAAAATAAATAAAGGAAAACAAAATGCCTTCAGTTTTGTTTAGGAAAATACATTATCTTTGGGTGACCTATATACTGTACATTTCAAAGATATTTTCAAACTTTGTTGCAAATCCATTGCTTTTTCTTTTCAGAAGAAATGTACATCATTTCTCCGTTAAATTAGTTTTTGCCTTTTTTTTCATCACCTAATAATACCAGTGTTTTAATAAAAAACTGTGCACCAGCTACATCACTTTTGTCAGATTGAGCTTTAGGATGTATGACTCTTTCATTGCATAGGACAACTCTACATGCAACAAAATATTTGGCACAGCCCACCAGAACACACAGCATGAGTGTTGTGGTCCACTGCAATGTTGCTGCATTGTAAGGGTTCTCTGCCAAACTGACATGCAGGAGCTTTTCTGCATTTTGTCCAGCAGCCCCTGAACTCTCCCTAATGTTTTTCCTATGTGTCGATGTACACATAGTCATTTACAGTTGTTTACAGTCGTTTTTTGAACGCACCAAACTTGCGTTCAGGAGTAGATTTTATCAGCGTTTCAAACGCCCTACGCTTGTAAACGTGGTTAACCGTGTTTATAAGCAGTTGCATTTAGAAGAGTTTATTAACTGTTCCATATCCAGATGCTGTCCAGAGCTTTTTTTCATCATCAGAAATGCATGAAAAGTGTTTTCCATGTATTCAAATGGACCTAGTGCACCAGCACAGTCAGTTCCAGGTTTTGCGTGAAGGAAAAAATGGTAGAACGTGCCGCATTATGCTCATGATGGGATTAATAGCGAATACAACCAGAAAAGATAGCTAATCTCAACACATACTGCTCTCTCTGCTTCTGCTCTCTCTATTCCTCTCAAAATGTCTGAAATAGTTAATTTTTTACTGTTCTGGGCATTCTGGGCATTTTGGAAGGTCTCCTGAGGTTATCTTTAAAAAAACGCTTCTAAACGCAAACACTCATAAACACACATAAACGCTCATAAACGCAGTATACAAACGTGGCTAAACAGACTTTTTTTAACCTACGTTTTCCAGAAGTCAGTTTCCATCGTTCAGAAGAGTTTTCCAAACGTCCCCTTGTACATGAGCCCTAGTGTTTGGGTGACTTGTAATAAACAATCGTACTGCAGTACCCAATTTGCCATTCA